AAAAAAAAAAAAAAAAAAAAAAAAAAAAAAAAAAAAAGCTTTTAAGTTGTACAATAAAAGTCTGTTTAAAAACATTAAGATTAAGATGCAAATCATTATGATTTTAGTATTTCTGTATTTGTTTAATTCATAAAATTGAAAGCATTCAAATATAAGATACACTCTTTATTCTTTATTTTTCATAATTGTATGGAAACTTATAGTTTGTTGTTTTATAATGGTACTTAGGGTGATCACCTAGATTTTAATATGCCTTTCCATTCTTTACAGTCTCTCCAGTTTTTGTTAGATACATGTAAAGTTCTAGTCATTGGAGCTGGCGGCTTAGGATGTGAGCTCCTGAAAAACCTGGTAATATATATGTATAAATATATATGTATATATATATAAAACATTGTGATAAATATACCCTTTTGCTTTTCTTTCATACTAGGAAAAAAATCTTCTTTTGTGATTATTAAATTTTTTTTTAAATCTTTGTAAGACAAGTTTAGCAGGACTAATTCTTTGTGGTAAATAAGATAACTAATTTTGGACCTTTTTGGACTTTCTTTTCTGCTGTTTGCCAAACAAATTTGTTATTTCCTCTTTGAGAGTGCTCAGTTTATTTCATTGAAGTTAAGTAAAAAAAAAAACCCAAATAATTCATATTTAGTGTAAAGTACTTTATTATTTATTTTCCTTCTCCAAATTGCCCAGCTAGGTGGGAGTTGTGTCATTTTATACATTTCATACTGAAGTTCAGCAAAGTGAAATGACTTAGTATTTCTGGATTACAATTATGTGGCTGGTATCTGATCTGGGTCATTGATTCTCAGACACATGTTCTTTTTTTTTTTTTTTTTTTTACTGAAGCATTAGATCATTCTTGACCTAATAAGATGGTAATCTTTGATGATGACCTTAGTCATGGTAGAACCAAAAGACGAGAAACCGCTAAACTTTTCATGAAACTATTTCTATGTCCATAATTTGTTATATAATGAATTGTTTTAGTTAACTTCTTATAGCCACACTTTAGCTTTTTGTAAATTTTTGTCAGTTTAACAAAAACAGGAGGGGTGATGTACAGCTGTTGTAGGCCAGGCTTTTCATTGCTGTATGGAAAAGTGGAAGTGCTGAAGCGAGTTATCCACCAGGACCTACATAATTGGCTGAGGCAGTTCCAGTTTAAATAGAAACACAGCTGCATTAATCTTGCTAGGAAACACTAATGTCATTGCTGGTGAAGTTGCAAAACCTTAAATTTGGTTCACTCTTCTGCTGGATTGTGGGAATTGTAGGTCACCGTGTGGTGAATTTAAAGATATACTGGGGAGACAAGTCTCATATGAAATAAATAGTAGTATGTTTGGTATACCTCACTCAGTGGTGGAGCACCAAAACTACAGTATGTTGTGGACTTAAATACTCCAGCAATGTGAAAACAAGAAACTCTTAGAGAAAGGTTTGATGGAGTTTAGTTACTGGTTTTGTTAGGCATTTCATATGCACAAGTGTTCTAAAGCTTAACTCTTTCCATTGTTTGATAATGTGATGTATACTAATTCTAAATGTAAAATAGTTAAAGATTAAATCTGAGGATTAGTCCTCAAGCAACTTTAAGGAGTGGTCCTGTGTTTTACTAATAGTAATCTCATATACAAAAAAACTAGGACTTTCAATTTTATCCCTTGTTACTTTGCTTATTTCAGACATAAGCATGTAAGAGATAAATTTTTATTATGACTATAAGCCCCCTCAAGGCTCATTCTAAAAGAAAGGGGAAACTATGACATTAACATTACTGATTGAGCTATTATTTATTGAGCCTTCTCCCTCATATGTCCAGCACCATTTTAGATGACAACTATATAACATTGAACCATACAGACAGATGTTTGTATTTGTGGGATTCACATTCTAATTGAAAGAAAAAGACAAATGGGGCCAGGGATTTAGCTCATTGGTTCCATTGCCTGCCTTTCAAGTGAAAGGTCCCAAGTTTTATCCCCCATACCAAAAAAAGAAACGAAATATATAGTATGTCAGATGGTAATAAAGCTGTGAGGAAAAGAAGGATGTGAGACAGGCATTCTACTAGTAAGAGAAAGGGTTTCTGAAAAAGAAAAGGAGAAAGGAGATTAAAAATTTGCTATATAGATATCTGGAAGAAAATCAAGTCAGAAGGAACAGCAGGTGCAAAAGTCATCAAAATTTTGAGTTGTTCTTTTTTGATGATAGACTTTTTAAACTGAGTGGTTATACATTTTTGGCCTTTACAAGAATGGTATATTCTGTATGCCTTGTAAGGCTTTTTTTAGCCATAAAATAAAATTATGCAGAGTATTACCAAGAATTTGTAGGTTTAGGATTACATTGAAAGCATCTTAATGTGAGGAAACCTCTGCTTAATCGCATTATTTTTATTCCCACAGGCATTGTCTGGTTTTAGACAGATTCATGTCATAGACATGGACACTATAGATGTTTCCAATCTAAATAGGCAGTTTTTATTTAGGTAAGTTTTATCTCTTTGTTTTTTAAAACTCTGATAAACATTTGAACATAAGATGTCTTTTAAAAACATTTGAGAATATGTTTTAAAAAGAGATTATTTTAAAAAGAGATAATAAAAGGACTGCCACTCAATTTTAGGTAAGATTTTGTAAGAAAACTTTGGGCATTAGTGTGAAAGTAGTTTTGTAAGAAAATAAATATTTTTTCCTGTGGGGCCTTTTCAGTCTGACAATTTTTAGTGTATGCATGTTCTAAAGAAAGCCTACTGAAGGTTGGGGATTTAGCTCAGTGGCACCACACCAGGTCCTGAGTTCATCCCTGGTACTAAAAAAAAAAAAAAGGCCTTCTGAAGTGATTAAACAGGCAGTACCCTTTAATTTATGGCTGAAATGGTTAAAGATTATAATGATAAGCCGGGTATGGTGGCACAAGCCTGTAATCCCAGCACTCGGATGGCTGAGGCAGGAGGATCTCTGTGAGTTCCAGACCAGCCTGGGCTACATAGTGAATTCCAGGGCAGCCTCAACTACATAGTGAAACCCTGTCTCCAAAAAAAAAAAAAAAAAAGATTATAATAATAGTTGACATTTACTATTTATGATATTCTAAGTACTTTTAAACTATCTGTATTTCCTTATTTATTTTTTATTTATTTTTTGTTTTTTGGGTTTTTTTGAGACAGGGTCTCACTATGTAGTTGAGACTGATCTGGAACTTGCTATGTAGCCCACGCTGGTCTTAAACTCATGGCAATCCTCTTGCCTCAGCTTCCTGAGTGTTGGGATTACAGACATGCGCCACCACGCCTGGCTGTATTTCCTTATTTAATCTCAGAGAAATCCTTAGGGTAAATACTTGCTTTCAAAGTTAAGTAAATTGGGCAACATGTCCAGTAAGAATAATGTGTATAAAGGCCACATTCTTAGAATGCAATGGGAAGGGTACATTAGCACACTCCACACAAACCATGCAGGAATTTTTTTTTTGGTACCTACTGTGAAAGCACAGAAAGTACATAATTTAAAAGAATCGTGGAAGTCTATTTTATTCTCTTTGCATATCCTGTGGGTACAGCAGGTGAAGGCTGTACTAAAATCAAACTCTATATTATAGCAGAGCTATTCTGTGCCCATTAGACAAAGTGAGAATAAGACTTGTATGAGATTTGAATCAAAAGAAGACTGCTTTAGTGGAGAAGAGAAAAATTGACCTGTTAAAATGTTTTTGTTTGAAATTCCAATTTTAAATAAAATATAATTTCTAACAGGCACATTTGATGGGTTATTTGCATTTATTTAAATTATTTGATATTAATAGATATGAAGGAATATAAAGAATTAAAATATGGTAAATTTCTTACAGGTGTTTTGTAGGTTAGTGGGTATGACAGGCGTGTATATGATAAGACAATGTTATGAAAAGGTAATGAGATACTATAGACATGAAGGAGAGATTTCTGTGAAGAGAATTAGGAAACATTAGGAAAAAAATACTGCTTGAGCTGATTGGAAGGGGCAGTTTGTGTTCTTTTAATTAAAATCTTTGGTTATTATGGAGGAATAATAATTTGAGGCTTAATATGTGTAGCATTTATATTTTCTTTAAAATATTGATGTCCAAGCATGATGGCACATGCCTGTATTCTCAGGACTAAGGAGGCTGAGGCAGGAGGATCGCCACAAGTTTGAGGACAGCCTGGGTTACATAGTGAGTCCAAGGCCAGCCTGAACTACCTAACCAGACACAGTCTCAAAAAGAAAAGAAAGAAAAAATGCTGATGATATTTGCACTTTTATATATTGCCTTTAGAATTATTCCTTCTTACACTAAATCTGCTAAAAGAGAGAATAGGTGGAACGCTTGGGGCCATAGGTGTAGGCAAAGACTTTATAAACAAGACCCAGCCTGCAGGAGAAGTACTACAAAGAATCAACAACTGGGACCTCTTTGCACAGCAACAGTGTGAGGAGACAACCCACAGAGTGGAAAATTTTTTTTACCAGATATTCATAAAGGACTCTTATCTAGAATGAATAAAGAACTAAAAAAAAAACAGATCCCCCCCAATTTAAAGACCCAATACAAAACTGAGCATCTGAAATAAAAAGACACTTTGTAGATAATTAGAAAAAGCAAATAAATATGTGAAAAAATGTTCAAGAGATGCAAATTGAAGCAATGGTGAGATTCCATCTCACTCCAGAAAGAATGGCTGCTATCAAGAAATCAACCAATTACAAATGCTGGAGGGGCAGTGGAGAAGAAGGAACCCTTCTTCACTGTTGGTGGGAGTTTAGACTGACGTAAGCACAGTGGAGATAATCAGTGTGGAGATTTCTCAAAAAACTAAAACTAGGGATTCATATGACCCAGCTATACCTCTTGGCGTCTTGCTGAAAGAATTAAAAACATCACACCACAGCAATGTATGCTCAGCCATGTCTATAGCAGAACAGTTTGTAATAGCAAAATCTTGGAATCAGCCCAAATGCCCATCAATGGACGAGTGAATGAGTATGTGTTTTTTTTTTTTTTTGCACAATGGAGAACTATTCTGGCATAAAGAAGGATGAGCAATAGTCGTTTATAGCTAAATGGATGGACATTGATAGCATACTCTTAAGTGAAATAAATGGACACCCATGTTTAAATACCACGTTGTTATTCTGTTGTGAGAAACTGAAAATGGAAATAAGGACTGAATTGGCTGGGGATTTAGCTCAGTGGTACCAAGCCTGCCTTGCCAGCTTAAGGTCCTCAGTTTTATTTGTAGTACCCCCCACCCCCCAAAAAGGACTGAAATGTATAATGGATATTGGGAAATGGGAAGAAAGCATTCAAATGGAAGGGGAACAAGGAAGGAGGGAGAAAGGAAGGGACAAGAAAAAAAGTGAAAATTGAAGGAAAAAATGGAAATAAAGCGAGGGTAGGGGACTTGGGAATGAGAAAAGGAAAATTTTTTTTTTTAAAAGTTATTCCTTTATAAACATGATTAAAGGTTTTTAAAGGGCCAGAAATAACTAATTGGCACACACCAGAAGAAGGTAATATGTTCTTTTACCCCTGGAGTGAATCTCATTGTGTATTTTTCAGAGATTTTTCAAGATTTGTGTAGTAACAGACACCTTGAAGTTCTGGAATTCAGGCTTAATACAGTACCTGGAAGGCTGTAGGTTTGGGCTAATTTTTACACCAGGAAATAGCACAGTGTGAAATGGCCAGGAAACATGCCATTATTGTGTTGTGCCTGGGAAAAACAGCAGTGTTCAAACTTTGACTTAAATACATAATCAGACCTGTTAATTCAAACCATAAACAAAGGTTGACACCTAGGATTGAATAATAATTCATCTGAAGTTATTGTTGATATAAAATATTTTATACTAGTCTTTGTAAATATTCTATAAGTAAAGTCATTGGATTTTTTAATAATTGAAAGTTAATTATATGTATTGTCTATGCTTATGAGTGATAATTTAAATATTTTTCCCTGTAGGCCTAAAGATGTTGGAAGACCTAAGGCTGAAGTCGCTGCAGAATTTCTGAATGATAGAATTCCTAATTGTAATGTTGTTCCGTATCCTTAAGCTTTCTTAAGCTTTTTAAATTTATTATAAAAGAGATGTGTAATAGAGAATACAAAAAAAAAAAAGCAGCAAAAACTTCATTACTGAAGTGACTGCTAATAACTTTGTTTTATATTCTGTCTTCTCTATGGTGGTTAAGTTTTTTTTTAACATTGATTTTCAAATTAAGCTTTAGTGTTTGTCATTATCTTTTTTATTTTTCTTTATTACCCTTAATTTCAGTAAAAATTTCATATCTATTAGACTATATAAGTGCCTAGACTGGATCCAATTATGTTTTCCTAGATAGTAAACAATGAATATATTGTTAGGCAAATGGAAGGCATGTCAAAGAAAACTTATTTTTACAGTAATGTATATATATTTTTTATTCTGAAAACTTTAATGAAGAGTATTCACATTGTGTGAATTTAGATGTAGGAAACTTTAATTTTTTTGTTTTTGGGAATTTTAATATTTTATATAGTCAGAAGATGGTATTTCCACGTAAGAATTCTCTTATAATACAAAGTCTGCATATAAAAATCAACTTGTATTTCTATATGCTAGTAGTGAATGCCTACAGACTAAAATTTATGGTATGCTACCATTTACTACCAGTACAAAAAAATTTTAGATACAAATCTGAAAAAATAGATCATATATCAATATATTATCACTTATGTACTGAAAACTCCAAAATGCTGATGAAAGAAATCAAAGATCTAAATTTATGAAGAGAGAATCTATGTTTAAGGATTAGAATATTAAATATGCTAATGATGTCTTTTGTTCCCCAAAATATATGCATGTGAGGGCCAAGGATTTAGCTCAGTGGCACCACGCCTGTCTCGCAGGCACAAGATCAGAAGTTTGATGCCCAGTACCAAAAAAAAAAAAACAGTAGAAGGGATCATTATCAAATTTGTAAATTTCTTATGTAGCAAGACTATGGAAATATCAGAGGAAAAGAGCCACACACAGATTGATAGAACAGAACAGAGAAGCCAGAAATGGTTCAGTACAAGTACTGTATGGCGCCAGTTGGGTTTTGGAAAGGCATAAAAAACATTCACTGGAGGAAGGCTAGACTTTTCCACAAACTATGCTGAGCAGTTGAATGTTTTAGATTTAAAAGGATGAATCTTGACTTGAACCTCACGTCTTGCATAAAAAGCAACATATAGCTCATAAAACTAGAAAAATGGAAACCCATGGTTTGATGAAGTGTTCTTCAAACTGTCAAAAGCTTGATTCATAAGAAAACAAGTGATAAACTCGATTTCATCAAAACTAAAAACTTGTACTCTGTGAAATACCCATTTATGGGAAGAAAATAAATTCCTGTGCGTCAGGTAACAAAGGACTCATCTAGAATGCAGTTCCCTTCAGTAGCCATGGGGGTGGGGGTGGGGGGTCATTCCAGGACTTTCTGAGGATACCAAATTCCCTGGATGCTTGAGTCCCTGATGAAAATGGCACTGTAGTTGTTTATAACCTGCACACTTCTTCCTTTATACATTTAAATAATCTCTAGATTACTTACACTGAATACAATGTAAATTTTATGAAAGTAGTTCTTGTACTATGTTCTTTAAGGAATGACAAAACAATTTTGTGCATGTTCAGTAGAGATGCAATTTGTTTTTCTTATGAATTTTTAAGGTAACAGTCTTCCTACAGAGCTCAGCCTATTCTCCTACTCACTATGTAGCATAGGCTTGTATTGAATTCCTAATCCTCCTGCCTCATTGCTGGGATTATAGGCATCTACCACCATGCCTGACTACATGAAATTTTTTTTTTCCTGTACCACGAATGGAACTCAGGGCCTTTGCACTGAGCTGTGTTCTGAGTCCTTTTTAAACTTTTTAATATTGAGACAGGGTCTACTGAGTTACCCCAGCTGGGCTTGGCCTTCTAATCCCCTACCTCAGCCTCCCGAGTGCTGGGATTGTAGTGCTTACTTACACCATCACATCCAGCTAGACACAATTTTTAAAAAATTATTTTTGAGCTAAAGTTGATTGAACCCATACATGTAGAACCCACTGATGAGGAGGACCAAGTGTATGTATAAGACTTCCAATCCAGTCGTAGAAATATAGTCCAGTTTTAAAGTGGACAAAAGATATGAAGGAATATTTTACTAGAGAGATGGCAAAAGACCCATGAAATGATGTTCATTGTCAAAGTAAGACCACAGTGGAATACTGCTAAATACCTATTAGTCTAAAATTAAAAAAACAAATAGTAATAACTAATGCTTACAAAGATATAGAAGAAAAAGATCATATTTTGCTGAAGGAAATTAAAATGGGATAACCATCTAGAAAAATTCGGCTATTTCTAAAAAATCTAATTATATACCGCCCAGTAGTTTCACTTCTTGACACTTGTCTCAGAGAAACGAACACTTAGATCTGCATAAAAACATGTACACTAATGTTTGTAGTTTTATTTGTAGTACCCAAAATGGAAACAGAACTTTCCTTAATAGGCAAATTATTAAACAGTAGGTAGTATATCCACGGTTTGGAATATTACCGAGCAATAAAATGGAATAACTCATAAAGCATGTACCAACTAGAATCAATCTCCTGGGCATTATGCTCAAGAATGAAAAAATAGTAAGTAGGGCAAATACTAATACAACTTTTTTTGTGGTACTGGCGATCAAACTCAGAATCTGTGCTTGCCAGGCAGGTACCACTGAGCTAAACCCCTGGCCCTGAGTAGCATTCTTAGAATAGCACAGTTAGAGAACTGGAAACAGGTTAGTGATTGGTCCTGGGGTTGAGGCTTGGTGTTCCTATAAAGAGGTACACCAAAGGGAGTTTTTGTGGTGATACCACAGTTGTGTATCCCAACACAAATACGTGTTTAAATGAGAACTGTGCACACACTGTACCAACACATGGTTTTGTTGTCCAAGTAAGTTAAGTGTACACCAGATGTAAGTTGTAATCATGGGTCTTTCTGTAGTGTTTGCAACTTCCTATGAGAATATATTATCTCAGAAATAGAAGTTTTAAGATGAAAATACAGAGCTATGTAAGAAAGGTAGGGAGAATATTCTTACTCTCTCTATTCCTATTGTTTAGGCCTGGAAAGCTACCCAGGATGTGGGATTTCTTAGTTTCTTCCTATGGCCATCCCTGTACCTCTTCTTCAGTGTCTATCTTTGATTAAGTTCCTGCTTACCTAGTATTATTGCTTATTTTGTTAACTTAAAAAAAAAAATCTCAATCTAGCTATGAATAGTTTTCTGCTTGCCTAGTGTTCAAAAGGAATAGTGGTCTGAATGAGTGATAGAATTAAATTTATTCTTCATAGCTTTGTAGATGAAAATGAAAAATGTAGAGCAAGTATATTATGTATTTTTCTTCTTTTTATTGCTTGAAAAATATATGGATTATCTTGATTTTAGAGAAGCAGTATAATTTGTACTACCGAAATAGTCCCATTAGAAAAATTAAAACAATTTTTACTCATACATACTGTTACAAGGTTATGAGTGCTGGGCGTGGTGGTGCACGCCTATAATCCCAGCACTCAGGAGGCTGAGGCAGGA